AGCTCCGCTGCCCGCGCTAGCGGGTCGATCTTGAGAAACCAATTGCCGAGGGCGCGAGAGGGCCAGAGCCCGCGGGCAAGTTTCGCATCCTGCCGCCCGGCCGCCCCCCCCACCCCTTTCACCGCCATCATTCTCGCGATGGGGCACCCATCGGTTCCGAACAATCTTCGCGCCCCCGGCTGCTCTAGCGGCCTCGCGCGTCATCTCGGCGCGAGATGCACGGCGCAGCGGCGGCGACGAATTGCTCTGGTCACACTCGGCCTCAGCGGCGCCCATGAAGTTAGCAGACGACGGGCGACCGTTGATCTCAAGGGGGACGGGGCGTTCATCAACCAGCATGGGCTCGATAGGCACGAGGGGGGCCTGAAACCGGGCGCGGTCCGAGATGCCCTGCCCGTCGAAGACTTCTGGGATCTCGAGGACGCTGCCGGCGCCATTCAATCGCGCGCGCCACCGCCTCGGGCCCGAGGCGACCTGGCGACCTGCGACGCTGAGGGCGCAGAAGGGATCGAAGAGGTGGGCGGGGTCAGAGGATCCAGGCGCCCCGTCATCTTACTGAAATCCTTCATCCATATCGGACACTGCCGGCGACGCCACCCATGCAAAACGCGGTGGGCTCTCGTCGCGGCGGCGCGCTGGCGCAATTTAAACCACCAGCAGCGATCGCACGCCTAGCACTCGGGTCGGTCTCAGCCAGGCCCAGGCGCCGATAGATCTTACCCGCGATCATGATCGCTTCTTCCTGGGAGCACTTGCACTTGTGAGTGTTATTGCGGGAAGCCACGGCCCCGTTGCTGGGCTTCGAACAAAATCGGACAGCTCGCCCCCGAACCGACGGATCAAAACTGAAGCGGGGCTCACGAGGAGCGCTGATGCCAAAAATTCGGGAACAGGAGGTGATGGCTCCTGCAGCGCGGCAAGCATGGCCCGTCCTCCTCCTCGTCGGGCCTCGAACTCGAACAGAACGAGCACATGAAATCAACTTGGCGCTGGCCCGATAGACCATGTCTCGAACCTCAAAGGGACTACCGTGGGTTTCTTGTATAGCGACCACTGGTCCAGGAGAGGCGGGAAGCCCGCGCAGCAGGCGAACTTTCTGCTCGCGAAGAAAGAACGAATGGTGAAAGAGCGAGCGGGCACTCCAGGTCGTCATTGTGAGAGGCCAATCAAAATCCCTGTGACCGCGCCATGCGCGGAACCCCTGTCTGAAAGGAACCACGTCGGCACAGCCGCCGCCGGGCCACTTGCTACGAAGTCGCGCCTCCAGGGCAAGGGGTATCTTTGACCCATAGTTGCCAGGAGCGCGAACTCTCGCCCTTGGCTTCGTCAGAGAAATACCGCAAGGCGCCGCTGGCCGCCTCGAGCACCTTCCTGAGCCGCTTGAGTCTGAGCTCCTTCTTGGTCTTCGCGGGGCCCTTGACGTAGATCTCGTGGTCGACGCCGTTGGCATCGGGGGCGACGACTCTCTCCCACTGTCCGATCTGCATGTTGAAGCACCCGATTGCTTGGGCTGCCTTCCTGGCAGCACATGTGGGGTTACCGCGAATCCGACGGGTGAAACGCTTGCCTGCTGGATCTCCGCCCAGAAGATCATCCGCATGTCCGATATGTACTCTGGCCAACCAATCTGGAACTTATCGCTGCGATTTCTGCTGGGAACTGACGTCTTTGATCCGGGCCGCGATGATGCACGGGTCGACGGCACAATCGAAGACGGTGCCCAGGATGGCTGCAGTAGGTTCTTCCGGCTTGATGCAGTGCAGGAACTGTCCAAATTCTGCCAGTCGCTGCTCCAGACGAACAACTCGTGAGCCAATGCGATGTTGCCGCGCCGTGAACTCCGCGAAGCGCAACTCCATTTTTATGCAACGTCCATCACACGAGGAGGCGACATGCTTCCCAAACTCAGTGACCGAATGCTGTGACTTCACCTAGGCATCGAACAACGCACTACGAGTGCCATCCACAAGAGCACGTGAAGACTGTTTTTTTTCGCATCAGGTAGTCCACTTCCTGCGCGGTCGGGAGAATGACCGCTGCCTCCGCGAGGGACCTTCTGTGACGGGACGGTCGGGGTCGCTCCAACTGAGCGAGGACAACAGCATCATGGGACATGGCGGCACCTCGAGAGAACTGAAGATGCGCGAAGCCCGAGGGTGGCAGCGAAAGACCGCGGATGGGGAAGAGAGCTTCCGCACTCAAAAGGAGTCTGTCCCCATCTTGAACCAAAATGGCTACGGACCTCCTCTTCTTCCTCCTCCTCCTCCTCGCCATCCCCATCGCTCCTGGAGGGTCGGGGCGAAAGGGTAGGATAGCAAAGGGTAGGGTACATACTCGGAGTTCGTAGCTGGTTTTCCTTCCGCCTCCTGGCGCCGGGAGGCGCCCATGTATCGAGGGATGGGCCCGGCGGCGGGGCGGAAACCAGCTGCATGCATCAGATTTCGTAACCCCGCCTTTCCCTATCCTACCCTTTCATGCGGCCCGACCCCAGAGGGTCCGCGCAGGGCGACGGACGGGCAGGAGCAGAAACGAAACGTGCGGACATCTTCGGCCACGGGGGGTCCAAACTCCGTGCAGTGACGGACCGCGTGGTGACCTCGAGACTCCAGGGACTGTGGAGGCACCAGTCGCGCTAGGCATCCTCGGAGAACGACTCGAGCCCCAAAACGGCGTTCGGACCCCGAACCCCCACTGACTCCGCACGCGGTGGGGGCATCACACCGCTTGGGGGCCCCCGCGCCCCATTCCTGGCCTCCAGCGGCCCGCCGGAGGTCCTCAGAAACCGCACGCTCGCTGCTCGCTCTCGCCGGATCTCACCCGCACCCTCCCCCGGAGGGCGAAGAACCGCACAGCCAGTGGCGCTTCCCTCTGTGGGGGGGGGCCTCCTCCCCAGCGCGGCTGGAGGCTCCATGGCCCCCCCACGCTGAGCAGTCGGTGGGCGCGCAAAGTTTCCAGCCTCCACGGGGCACTGGGCAGGCGCCCCCCCCCGATGGAAGCAGATCGTGTCGATCTTCGTCCGCCAACTCACCCTCGCCCTCGTCGCCCAGGTCCAGAGAGGCCATTGCAGCAACTGCCAGATCCTGCTCGCACGCAGCCAGGCGGGAGAAGGAACGAGGAGCGGATGAGAACCAGAGTTCCGCCACCATGCCTGGATAGCCAGGAATAGAGAGAGAAAGAGAGAGAGAGGAGGAGGGAGGGAGGGAGAGAGATAGAGGGAGAAAGAAAAAAAACAAAAAAAACGCGCGCGCGGAAAGAGGAGAAACGCATGGATGGGAGAGAAGGCGGCAGAGGAGGACACGAAGAGAGGAGGCGGCAGGAGGAACGTCGAGGAGGCGCGCCGTGGTTGTCTGGCGCCGCTCCCCACAGCTCTGGCGGATTGATTCCTTGTGGAACCAAGGGCTCTCTCGGCACGGCCTCAAGAGGTCCAACAAAGGTGCCCAAAGCGCACCCAGACATCGATCCTCGTTTTGGCGGGGCGGAAGAGGGGTCCCTTCAGGAGCAGCAAGAGCAAGAGCAAGAGCGAGGGGATGGGGCGCCAGAGCGCGGGTGCCTTCCAAGAACGTAGAAAGCCTCTCAGAAGGAATGCGGGGCTTCGGGGAGCGCTTCCGAGAAGGTAACGGAGCATCTGATGAGAAGCTCCTCGCCTTCTGAGGGGCCCTCCTCCTCGCGCCCCCATCCCCCTTCTGCGCGCCGCCGATACCTCCTCGGTCTACGGGCCCTCTCCTTCACCCTCCTGTCGGGTCCTCGCCGCCAGGGGGCGCATGATGGGGGGGGAAAGGTAAGACGAAGCCCGGACGAGGATACCATCGGGCACGGATAAATCGAGAATCTCTGAGATCCGGCGGATCTGGGGGATGTCTCGGGCGCTGCGGCCTTCTCAGAGCGTTCCGGAACGCTCTGGGAGCGCTCCGGAACGCTGTGGAGCGGATGTATCCTCGTCCGAGCCCCGTCCGGCAGGGCAGGCGCAAGAGCGTGCGCGGGCGCGCGCGGAGAGAGTCCCGCTCCCACCGGCCCGCAGGAGGCCAGGCGGTGGGCACAACAGCCACCGGGGGGGAGAGGGGTCCACGGGGCCCGCAGGCCTCGGGGGGGCCGACTGCGGAGGGGGCGACGTGCTCCCTGCTTGCTGCTTGCTGCCGCATCTCTGCTCGGGGCTGCTTTGTGAGTTCGCTGTTGCTGCTTGCTGCTGTGCTGCCTGCCGCACGTCTGCTGATCGCTGTTTGCTGCTGCTTGCCGCTTGATGCGATCGAGGACCCACTCATTCCGCTGGCTGTCTGCATGTTGGGGCCCCTGGAGCACCCTCCGCCCCACGACCAGGACCGCCTCGCAATTCTGGACAGAGAGCCTACCCGAGAGCTGGGCACGGAGCAAGGAGCACCCGAGGGGATTCGATCTCGAGACGGGACACCACTGCGACGGTCGACGCCCCTGGAGCCTCCACGTCCGCCTCTACCTCCGCTACACGCTCACACGGATTGCAGATCCGTGGAGCTGCCGCGTGGGCGCCAGATCCACGGATCGGGGAAAATGCCCGCCGAAACACATAAAGCCAGTGCCGCCTAATTTTGTGACGAAGATCGCCGATTCTGCTTGGAAGCGAGGCCCGTTGCCAATCTACGCGCCTCAATCCAGGTTCGCGCTTCCTTGACACTCGACTGGAGCCCTTTGTTTTATCATTCAAGATAACGCCCGTGATCGGCCCCGCCTCCCCCCCCCGCCACTGGTCACGTCACACATTCGCGCTGGCGCCGTGTGGGGGTTAGCAATTCGTGTGCATTTCCAGACGGCGCCAGTGCGCATCGTGGCGTGACCGACCCCCTCCCCCTCCCTCCCTCCTCCCCGTGGTCAAGCTCGTGGTCGCCAGAGGCAACACAACTACCATCTCCTGCCGCGACCCCCCCCCCCGACAGGCCCCCGAGTCCCCTCCCCCCCTCCGAGCCGCCACGCCGCCCGAGGACAACCAGGTTGGCCGGCGGCTCGTCTGCTGCGGGCGCGGGGCCCGCTCAGTAGCGCAGCCTCGACTTCCTCGGGGGTGAGCAGAAGCACAGCCACCGCACGACTGGAGCAGAGCAAGGAGGAGACCCTTGCGGCAGATGGCCCCGCACAGCCTTACACTATTCAACTCACGATGGGGGGCCACGATGGGCCACCGATTTCGGGGGTCCGGGCTCCCTCGCCAGTCGGACATGGGAGTCCCACCAGCCTTTTAGGGCGTGAGTGGTTTTGTGGGTTTCCTCTTCCATCCTCATGCCTCCCCTTCGGGGAGGGATTGATCACTGTTCCCTATTGAAATACACTCCCTCCCCCAGGCGACTGGCAGCCAACCAGGAACAATGCCGACCCTATGCTCCCCACCCCCAACCATCCCTGTCAACATACAATACAAGCCACACTCTCCAAATTCGGAGCATGCGCAACCAACCCGATGTGCCCCCCCACCCCTGTCAAGAAACAGTACACAGTACACTTTGGGGCAAAGTCTTGAGTCATGTTCGTGATGTTCTTGATAGCATATTGCCTGCTGCGCGCAGGGCCAGAATCTCTTTCAAACAAACCATACAGCATGCACTTCGCGGCTACTTACGCAGAACGAAAGATTTTCTTCTTGAGGTGCAAATGGCGATGATGAGCTGGACGTTAATGATCGAACCCCCTTTCCCCCGTAGAATCTGGATCCGCCGTAAAAAATAAGACCAGACACGGATCCAGCAAATCGGGCATCGGATCCGCGCGGACGGAAAACACCAAAGCCACATTTGGATCCGCGCAATATTCCCCAATCAGAGCTTACCTCTGTTGGGGTCCTAGCGGATTAAAGGGTTAGGTAAGGTTTGTCACCGATTTCGGTGGCCGGGCCCAGGTGCCCGGGTGCCCGGGTGCCCGGCGGTGCCCGGGTGCCCGGGTGGCCGGTGAGTTGCGTGGCCGATGTCGGTGGCCGGGCCCGGGTGCCCGGGTGCCCGGGTGCCCTGGGGTGCCCGGGTGCCCGGGGGTGCCCAATAGCCCAATAGCCCAATAGACCAGTAGCCCTGTAACCCTATAGCCCTATAGCCCTACAGCCGTATAGCACTATGGCCCTATAGCCCTAGAGCCCTAGAGCCCTATAGCTCTAGAGCCCTATAGCCTTATAGCCCTATAGCTCTATAGCCTTATAGCCCTATAGCCCTAAGGTTCTATAGCCCCTATAGCCCAGTAGCCCAATAGCCCTATATCACTATACCCCTATAGCCGTATAGCCCATATAGCCCATATAGCCCCAACAAAAATCTGATTGGGTTTTTCTCCGGCATCATTTATGGGATCCGACGGCGGTTATCTCATACGGTTCTGCTCAAGACTTCAAACCGTCGTTCTGGGCCCAAGAGGAAAAAACTTTCGTCCTGGGGATGTAAGTCTGGATCATGCGCGGCCAACCCGCCATCACTGTCAAGCGGTTTTTGGCAGGGACGGTGGGGGTGGTGGCGTATGGCCTGATGTGCGCAGGTCCACCAGACACAATGATGGGCATCGGTTTTCGAAAAGGCTGGTGGGGGCCGACACGTTTCCCGATGTGTGCTGTCACGTGCGCAGGCGCACCTAACACACTCTGCACGTGCCCCAAACGTGGCGCACCAGCCGGAGTATGCGGCACACCTAGCTCACGTGGAGCACGTGGCGCATCTGGCGCACCAGGCGTGCCTAGCACGCTTGGGCCCCAGGGGTGCCTGGCGCGCGTGGCGCGCCTGGCACGCGTGGCGCACCTCGCTCCAGCGTCGCGAGCATAGGGTCGGTCGGTTTGGGCTCCCAGTATCTGCCCATCCAAAGACGACCGCTGAACATGCTGAGTCTCGGCTGTTACTTTGTGTGGGAGTGAGCTGGACGGCTCGCTATCTAGGAGGGTGTCTTGACCCCCCCCCCTACCCCCTCCCAGCGGGTCTGGACGGGGCGTTTCGCGAGGTGTCAGAGGGTCATTTTAGGGCTGGCCTCGGCGAGAAGGCCCAAATCATTGATTTTACAAGGTTTTGGCCACATGTTGGGGGGGAGATTGGGACCTCCCCCATCTTTGATCGATCACCTCCAAGATGGCCCCCAAGGCTCCCAAGAGTGCCCCAAGAGGGTCCCAAGAGGCGCCCAGGAGACGCCATGAGGCCCCCAAGAGGCCCCAAGATGCAACCAAGAGGCTCCCCAGACCCCCAAGACGCTTCAAGAGTTCTCCGGGACTGCCAAGAGACCCTCAAGACGCCCCAAGATGCCTCCAAGAAGCTCTCAAACTACATCCGAAGAGACTCCGAGAGGCATCCAATATGCCTCTGGCCTTACTGCTCGCCCTCCTCCTCCTCATCCTCCTCCTCCTCTTCCTCCTCCTCGTCCTCCTCCTCCTCTTCATCTGCCTGTTTCTCCTCCTTCTCCCTCCTCCCCACAATTACACAATATGAATACTACTCTCCTCTCAACCGAGGACCCCGAGGTCGTCGCCTGCTCCCGTCCGCGTATTGTTTTTTGCAGATGGGATCCCCCCAAAGTGGTCGACTGTATGTGTTTTTCCACTCTGGACGTCTTCGGTGTTTCCAGAATGGCGCTCCCGCTACAGCGTTGGCTCAATTCTCTGGCTCTCGGTCCTTCCAAATCATACTCGCGCTGCTGCGCTGACCTCACTTCTGTGTTGCGGACCTTCCAACTCGCGTTCCCGCTACAGCGTTGGCTCTACTTGTATGCTTCCACTCTTTCTGAACCGTCCCTTTACACTTTTTGTCTTGCGTCATGCCTGGATTCCCTCAGAACCTATTGTTTAAATGAACCGTGTGCTCGACCAACGCTGGCTCTCATTTTACGCTTCTGGTGTTTCCGCACTGTTCATGTCTGGTTCTCCTCAGAGCCAACTGTCGAACAAGAGCCGTGTTATCGCCCCGGCGACGCTCCGCCGTGCTCTCTACTGTGCAATGCATCGCGTTCCCTCTCGGGGTCTTTGCCCTGCTCGACGTCTGACTGTGCGAATAGAAATAATATCTACGCCATGGTAAGGGATGGGAGGGGGGTAGGACGTCAGATGAGACGCTTGCGAACCTAGCTTGTCCTCCACCTCTCTCTCCTCCATCTCCTCCTATTCCTCCTTCTCCTGCTCCTCCTCCGATTCCTCCTCCATCCTCCCCCTCTTGGGGTATGTCGTCTTTTTCAGCATTTTAGTCCACCGCATGCCCCTCCACATCCCTGATCAGGGCAACTCGTCTGGGCATCGTTTCTGAATGGGCTGGTAGGGTTTCGCGAAGCGTTTAGAATGATACTGTCGGGAACTTTGCTTAGGATGTCGCGGCGGCCGCACTGGCGACATGCCATACCCTGCAAGCTGGCACCGCATCGCTCTGCTTCGCGGGACTGGGGGCTGGCAAAAGCTCGGGACATGGACGCTTGGAAGCTGGGACGGGCCAAAAGCGTGTCGCGCCGAAGCGTGGTGGGCCAGCACTGGCAGCGCGACACGCCGAGCAACAGCTTCCAACCCTACCACCACACGCCTCGAGCTAGAGGAAGGAGCACAGGCCCGAGCATTCGGGGGTGGACAGAACCCCCTTTAGCAAAACGTGGTTTAGTGACAACGACCTGGGGCCCAAACCTGGAGGGCGCAAGCCTGGAAAATGACGGCCGCGGCGCCCTCTCGAGAACCGAAAACGGACAATTCACTAATCGACGTGTCAGGGTGGGGGTTCTGTCCAGCCCCGAAGCATATGCCTCCCCAGCTCCGCGCATACCTCTCGGATCGGCACGGCGCTGGACCCACCTTGCGGGAGGCGCCTCCGGCGCTGCCCCCGGCGCGTCTCCCGCGCCGGGGAGGGGGTCCGGTCCCCCCATGTCCTAAGGTTCCCAATGCGTGTGTGTGTGTGTGTGTGTGTGTGTGTTGGACGCCCGAGTTACCCCTGACCCGAGTTACCCCTGATGATTCGGGGCTCTGAGTGTGTGTGTGTGTGTGTCCTCTCTTCCCTTCCGCTGGCTGCCGCCTGCCCGCTGCTGGCCTCGCCGCTGGCCTGGCTGCCGCCGCCTGCTCTCGCTCGTCGTTCGCTGGTGCGCGCGCTCTCGGGCGCGCCCCGTCGCGGCCGCGGCGGTCGGGCGTCCGTCGGGCGGAGGAGTGCTCGTGGAGCGCGGAAGGCAGAAGGCAGGACGGCAGCACCGGGGCTCCGAACAGTTGCGTGTAGGCGCTCTGCCCCAGGGAAGACCAGCAGGCCTCCAGGCGTCGTGGAACAGCGCTAGCCTGGCGTCTGCGCCCCAGCTCGCGGCAGAGACGAGGTCCGAAGCGCTCTGTCTTGTGGTTATTCTTTCTTCACGGCGCTGGGGCTCTTTCACAACGAACGGGGAACGGAGGGCCCCTGACCCCGACCCCCCCGAAGCCCCCCTCCCGAAACCAGCAGCGGGCAGGGGATGGGGTCGGAAGGCAGGGTCTCTAATCGTAGAGGAAAAGGCTGCAAGAGGGTGGGGCAGCGCACAGTTCCCGGCACCCCACGCACACTTGCTCTGGACGGCGGCCACGCACACAGTGTTTGAGTCTGTCGCAAACGGTTGAGCTGGAAGGGGATCCTAACGTCAAGACGGATAGCCGTGTGTACTATGTCCGGCGCTTGACAACTCACTCTCAGTGAGAGGTTTTCGCCGTGAAATCTTTCTACATGAACAGAGTTGGCGGTGAAATCTATCTTGGCAGCCTCCGTCCGAATTGACGAACGCTCTTGATGGACTCACTGCAGGTTGACGAAAACTCTTGAAGGCCTCCCTCCGAATTGACGAATCCCTTCACGGCCCCCTTCCAAATTGATGTGCCTCCTTGATGCCCCCTCCGTCTCGGGGTCGAGTCAACGATTGACGACTGCCCTCGCCTTGGCAAACGAACGTTTGGGGCCAACTTGACGACCCATCTCGTCTTGGCGAACGGGGAGTTGAAGCCGAGCTGACGGCTGCTCTCGTCTTGCAGAACGAAGTACTGGGGCCGAGTTTGCGACTCTTTCAGTTTGACGAACGACTTGTGTGCTCCGAGGTGATGACCCTTTGTGGGTGCTCCTCCAAGGAAGCGCTGTCTTAATTAGCCACTGGGCCGCGCTCAGCAAAGCGTCGCGGCTCAGAATTCGGCAGGCGAGGAGACCAAAACCGGACTGGGCTTGGCACGCACTGGTCTCTCCGACACGCCAGTGATGGATTGCCACGCACACTCACGCATACACTTTGTTGGCGTCGCGGCCATGCGCGCAACGACAGGGCGTAGAAGGTCGGAAAACGGCAAATGTCGCTCGCGCGCGCGTCTAAACTCCCCGAAGCACACACATACACAAGCACACACGCACACAAGCACACACGCACACAAACACACACGCAAGCACGCACACACACACACACATGCACATGCACACACATACACACACGCACACACACATACACACACGCGCGCACGCACGTACGCACGCACGCACATACACAAACACACAAACACACAAACACACACACAAACACACACACACACACACACTTTGTCCGTCGGCGGCGAGGCAGAGTTGGCTGCACCAGCGATAGAGCTAGACGACACACACACACACACTTTTCGGTCGTCGCGGGCGGGCGCAGCACCTCGCCGTCCAGCCCACGCGCGGAGAACCGCGGCCGCGCCCAGTCGTCAGAGGGAGAAACGAAAAGAAAGAGGCGGCCAGCACCTCACGGAGCAGTGGCTGGGGGCGGCGCAGGGTCGCCAGGGCCCTTGCACACGCACACACACACACATACACACACATACACACGCACGAGAACGTGAAATTAACTTCTAGCCTGGCGATCTCGCCGCTGCCTTGAAGCGAGATGTCTCGACATGTCTCGACCCTGGCAGATCTGTGAGGGCCCTGGGGCCCGACGCGAGGCAGAAACGCGCGCCGCGTGTTTTTCGCCTCGGCGTCGGGGCTCGGAAAGGTCAAACAATGTCACTGTCAAGCGCTCGGTGGGATAGCTTGAACGACCCGACACGCGCATTCACGGGAGGGCGTCGATCCAAGGACGGGGGCCCCTTGACGCGGAACTTCTACCGAATTGTTGGGCGAGGGCGCGTTTGTTGGGCGAGAGCGCGGGAGTGAAAGGCGCTGGCCAGGGGTCCGTTTGAAAGGCGAAACGCGCGGTAGCGATGGTCGCTTCCACCCCCAACGGATGACAACATTTGTTCGCCCCACGGGTCCTCCAGGCGGGGCCGTCCCTCTCCTCGATCTGCTCCTCCAGGGCTAAGCGGTTGGCCTGGAACTTTATTGCGGATGGTCTGCCACGGCAGCCGGCGCTGCGCGCGCGCCCCGCCAGCGGGCCTACAGACTGTCGCTCCTGAAGAGCTGCCTGTGCAAGCCCGCCCGCGAAGACAGTCGCTCAAACGTGTCCGCCTCTGAATCGACTCCTCTTCCAGCAATCGATGCCCATCGGGCCCATACCTACGCTGAGGGCCCCACTCTGGGCGGCGCGGGGGGGGGATGAACATAATATTGCTCCCCATCAAGCTTCTTACCCGTCACACCCCCCCAACCCCTGGGAGCCAGGATGCGCCACGGAAGTGTATACACAGACACGTTCCGACGAACTCTGCGTGTGCCTTGAGAGGGAAGGCGGCGGTGTAAAAAGTCGTCGGCTCTCAGTGGTGATTTATACACCGCCACCCTCCCTGAGGCCCAGGAACAATCCCTTGCAAGGTGTTCGTGTATTCCTCTTCCCACATTTCTACCAGCCGGGGGGAAGGACCCCCGAAAGAAAAAAAACAGACTCGGGATCGGGTTTTTTTGGGGTCCCTTGGACGCCCTTCGAAAAGGTTCCCCCAGCCCTGCCGCGCCTCCCAGGGCGCCTTCTAGGGCCTTGCCCACCAGACCCAAAGCGATCAGAGAAGCCCCAAGACAGCGCAGGACGGCCTCAAGACGGCCCACGAGGACCTCAAGACGCCCCAAGAAGCCCCCAAGATGCCCCAAGAGTCCTTCAGGAGGGCCCACAAGAGGCACATAGCCTCCCATGCCCTTGGGAAGACGTAAATGTTCAGCATCTTCGCTTTGTGTGTCGTAGCAGCGTTCACGACGGCCCACGAGGCCTCCGAGATCGCCCCGCAACGGGCTAAGAGGTCGCCAAGAGGGCTTCAAGGCAACCCAAGAGGACCCCAAGACTGCACCCAGACGGCCCAAAAGAAGCTCACAAGGCCCTCAAAGGCTTCCAAGAGAGACCCACGAGGGCCATGGTAGGTCCCCAGGAGGGACCAAGATGGCCCCAAGAAGGCCCGTAGCGGGCCCAAGGTCCCCAAGAAGGCCCTAGCAAGGCCCAAGGGGGACCCAAGGCGGCCCAAACGGGCTTCAACAGGACCCCTAAGACGGCCCAGAGAGGCGCCCAGGAGACCTCCAGAGGTCCCCGAAGCCTTTGACGAGGAGCCTCTGCAACAAAAACCTGCGGCAGACGGGGAATGGTTCGCAACGCCAGGCGAGAGCGAGGATTAATGAAAGGAACGATGTGGAACGATCATGCGTGGCACGCGTTTTTGTTGCAACGTTTTTGTCGGAGCCTCCAGGTGGCGTTCTCGTCGCCACGTCACGTCTCGAAATTCGAATCAAAACGCAGCCCAAAAACAAATCGGGTGGCGCACGAACATGTAAATCTAGGGCGAGAGCACATAAGGAACGCGCAAGGGAACTTGAAAGGAAACGGCCCAAATTCAAAGGCCAGGGATGATGACGCCAAGTGACAACATATGCGAAGCTTGAAGAACCAAGGTGCGTGACGCGAAGCGCCAACGCAGTCTTGTACACATATGTATTTGTATACACATGTGTAAATGTATACGTCTACAGATATGTGTGTGGCGGAAAGCAGGGCGATGGACAGCACGCTCACCGCCTGCCCCTCTTCCGCCTCCTCATGCCGGCATCCGCTCGTGCCCCTCGAGACTCTCGTGCCGTGGCGAGGGGGCTCGTCGACAGTGTGCACAGCCGTGGGCAGGCAGGGAGGGAACGTCGGCGGCTCAAAGATGGGGCCCTGAGGGATGGGGCCCCAAGACGAGGCCCAAACGACGATCAGATCGAGTGAGGCTAGATCGAGAATCTCTGAGATCCGGCGGCTCTGAAAGATGTCTCGGGCGCCGCGGCCTTCTCAGAGCGTTCCACAACGCTCTGTGAGCGTTCCGGAACATTCTGGAAAGGATTTATCCTCGTCCTAGCCCCGTCCGAAGCCCTGAGGATACAGGAGCGGTCAACATCGAGTCCTAAAATCGGATCGGATCGGAACGTGCGTCGGATCGGGCTGCATCGGCACGCCGTCGAAATCGGATCGAATCGGCTGCGCCAAGATGCACAACAGCGCCATGCGTGCACCGGGCCGCATCGGATCAGCAAAACTGGACTGGAATCGAATCGGATCGGGCCGGCCAGAATCGATATATCATCGGATCGATCGGATCGAAACGGGCCCTGGGAGAGGAAGGGATGCAAGGCTGGATTTGCATTGTCTGAGGCCCCGCGTCCTCGGGGTCCGATCCCTCAGGACCACACCGAAAGGGCCCTTCCTCCCAGAGTCCATCATGCCCACGCCTCTCGAGCTGCGTCCAGCCACGGCCGCGAGAACCCACAGAAACGTTCCAAAGTCTCGTAAACGAAGACGTCGACGTCGACGTCGTGGCCAGAGACGGCTTCAGCCCGGCGCCGGGGCCAGGACGTACCTGCCAACACAGTGGACCCAGCGGCCGGCTGGCAAGTCCATCAGCCTCCTGCCCGAGATCCTGGTCCGATACGATCCCTATCTCTCTCTCTCTCTCTCTCTTCCCCATTTCCACACTCTCTCTCTCTCTCTGCCTCTTTCCCTGTTTCTCTCTCTCTCTCTCTTTCTCCCCCTATTTCTGCTCTCTCTCTCTCTCTCCCTCTCCCCCTCGGCCAGGCAAAGCGGCCAGGATAAACGGCGGGAGGGGCCCGGCGATCCGCTTCGAGAGGCTCCCGATCTGCCGTGGCCTCCCAGGGAGCCCACTCCCCTCGCTCGAAGAGCCGAACTCCCTCCCGTGCAGGGCCAGGCTATAGCGGCGTCGAGCGGCCCTGTCTCGACAAGGGGTCGCGACAGCGCGCAGGGTCTGCGCCCGCACGGCCCCCGTCCGGGATGCAGAAGGACTTCAAGCGTCTGGCCCGTGGCCCAGCCCGGACCTGCCTGGTCCGAGGAGCATGGCATGGGGCATGCGAGAAGCCGCGATTGCCTCGTCCCAGGCCGAGAATGTGGTCCTGAAGTGCACCCGTTGCACAAGCATGATGACGAACACGCCACCTTGCAGAAACTAAGCAGCGATCGAGATCAAACGTGCTCAGAAAGGGAAAAAGGCGCGCCTCTTGGTTCTTCCGTTTCCTCCTTATCCTTTCGACCTTTCTCCACGGCAACTTGTAAGCCTTCTTCTTGAGATCCTTGGCCAAGTATCCCTCCTCTTTCTCGTAGAACCGCGCCTCCTCCATTGCCTGCTCCCTGCGGGCGGGAAGAGCACACACACCAAACAAATCAACTTCAACAACCTCCGATTTGCCCATCCCTCTCCCAGCTCCCGCTGCCCCCACCTCACCTGCACCTGCCGCCCCTGACATTGCCTCTGGTGTCGTATCGTGTCGCCTCAGATCCGCCAAAGTTCCAAGCGCACGTGCAGCAGATGGGATCGGAAGGGCAGATGGAGGGATGACTATCCCACTCACTACAAACACTGTCCCAGAGCAAAGCTGCCCCACGCAGAAAGAGAAACAGCACCCCTCCGATGCCAGAACCTGCTCAACGTCGGTCGGCGGATCCCTTTTTCGGAACGTGCCGTGAGAAGCATACAGTGGGGGCCCGACCACAAACCTTCCGCATGAAACCCAACCCTGAGACCCCGGGACATCCATTGATTGTTGGTGTGGGAGCGCCACGCTTTCCATAGCAAAACTACTGAAACCCAAGAAACCCAGGGCACCATGGAGGCAAGCAGGGTGTTTCTTGGCATGGGCCCCCACTGTATTTGGATCCCAACTGCGGCGACAACGGGGGCCTTCCCGAGGCAGAGGCCACACACACACACAAACAAACAAGTTAGCGCAGAGGCGGCAACGGTGTCCAGCACGATGGTGAGAACGCGCCCTGCAACAGTACATGCCCTCGACTGTCTCGGGGGGTAAGAAAGGGATGTGTCATAAAGGGGTGTGGTGCCAATCGTGGAAATGGAGACGTTCGCTACGATAGCTAGCATCGCAAGATTCAGCATTGGCACCACACCCCGTTATGCCACACCCCTTTCCGACCTTCAGACTGGCGAGCTTCAACACCACCCCTAGCTGGTACTGTTCGATCCTGCCCGCGGTCTCGGCCGCCGAGGCGTCGCCCAAAGCCCAGACCCTCAGGAAGCAAACCAACCACACTTGTTTGATTAGAGTCGGGCCGAACCGCAAGGTGCCCTCCCCAGGCAGGGGATCTGCGAGCGGTCGAGCGCACCGTACCGCCGCGGAGCTGGCAAAGATCTGCGATGTCGCCGAAACTCCGCAGTTGTCATGCGGACCTCGCGGAGCTTCCTAATGGTGTCCTGAGGCCGGGCAGACGCCTCTGGGGGTGCCCTGAACCTCTGAGCGATTCATGGCAGAGGAGGGGGAGGCAGGATAGGAGGAGGAAGATCGGAGGAGGAAGGGAAGAGGAGAGAGTAGGGAAGAGGGAAGAGCGAAGAGGCAGGAATGAGGAGGGAGGGGGCAGCGAGTGAAGAGACAGGGCAGGAGCGCATTCGGGGAGCTGGGAGGCGGGGAGATGTGTCTCTTTCCTACTGCTCCACGCGCGCCTGTCCCGTGTCCCGACTTTAGGGGGGAAACAAACCTACCTCGCTTTTGACCACCCTCGCTTCCAAGAGATACCAAGCGATGCCAAACTACGGCCTGTACTGGTCAGGCCGCTTGACGAGGAGGCGCGTGGTATGACTCGGTTTTGCCTGGAAGCGAAAGCGGGGTAGGTAAATCACGCTCTGAGACTTTGCCGTTGCCCAGTTCGACCTAACTGACCTGCCTGTGTACAAATCCCCACGGGAGGAACCCGAGCGTTGATTGGAAACGTCGATCGAGCAGCGAACTCAGGCGAGAGAGGCAAACACCCAGAATGTCAGCTCGCACCGCACGCGTCGCATAGCAGCGCGGAGTGGTCTGGAGGTTTGGCCAGAAAGCTTCGCTTCCAGCTTCTGTAGAAAATGGGCGCGGGGCGTGGTCGCCTGGGCCCTCGTCGGGCCAGAGGTGCTCAGGCACCGCGAATCAGACTCTGGCAGAGGCCAACCAAACAATCAACCCTGCAAGGGATGCTCAACGCTTGACGCCCAGGGGCACGCTGGCCCTCGAACGAAGGCCCGTCGTGTACAACTGGCAAAGACCAGTCGGATGCGCCTCGTTCGCTGGGCCAGTGTGGGCGTGCTTGGTCGGCCCTGGGCCCGCTGGCCCTTCGCGGGGCCCGGCGACCACGGCGCTCCTTCGAGGCGCCGCGAAGGATCTTCAGGTAGCCGTTGAAGCCCCACTGTGCGCCCCAGGAGTTCTTGACCTGGGGGAGCAAAAGCAATACCGATGACACGCCGCCATGTGGAGCCCGCCAGCGCGGCGCGGAAACTGCTGAAGGAACACCATGCCTTCGGGCAAAAACGAAGGAGTAACACGCCAGCCGGCTCCCAACGGCGGCGCGTCAGTGAATCCCCTTTCCCCCCCGATCACCAGCCAATAGTCCTTCCCGCCCTCCGTGCCGTAGCCCGCGGCGAGTACGCCGTGATCCAGCTGATGCCCGCGCGTCCCGTCAAGCACGCCGCTGCGGTACAGCTGGAGCGCCATCTTGTCGGCCTCGATGGCGACGCTCACCAGCTGCTGCGCAACAGCGCTCATCAGCGCGGCGGTGTTCAAGGTCTTGACGTCCCTGAAGCCGACGACGCCCCCCTTCGGGAAGCCGGCGTCGCAATTCGAGGCACCGCAGATTCCGTTATTCGCCTTGTGCGGGTGGGAATCCTCTGTGCACATGCTGGTGTTCTCCGCGTACTGGAAACCACCGCCCATGCTGCCCCCGCCGCAGCCCATCTCCCCGAACTTCTTCGAGCAGTCCACCAGCTGTTGTTCGCTGAAGGACACGAGCTTGTCGGTGGCGAAGGCCCATGGGCCCTCGAGCGCCCCTGTGGTTGAGAATGCCCAACACGAACCATGCGCAGCCTGGTTCTTTGCCGGGGGCTAGGTGTATTTGGATAAACATCATAATACCAAACATTCGAGATAGCAGCTTCCGTACATAAGAATATCCATGAAGATCAGGATGAGGAGGCACGGGTAGCTAACTTTGAACAGCAAAGCGATATAAATATCAGGTGTCAAAGACAGCATGCAAGCACAACTCACAGCAAAAAACATAGCTCAAGCCGCAAGCCCTCCTCCGATACGAGTCTTCTTTTGACTCCGCATTCCGATACCAGTCGCCACATAGTACAGGCCCATGCGGACCTGCATCACCAAAAGCTCAGATCTTCGCTCTGCGACCCGATGTGCAGACAGGGTAATCCACCCAGAACTCGAGGTAACCCGAAGCTGACTGGTCCACCAGGAGTCCGCGACACCTAAAACCGTGCCGAGCTGGCGTCTGAAGTCTGCGAAGGCAGTGCGCTCGGCAACACAATGTCGAACTGATGGCCAATGGTGGCGCTGGAGGCCCAGCAAATCTAGATAACTACTTGCTGCCATTCCGCAGGAGAAAATCCGTCACGAAAACGCTTCCAAGCTTTGCCCGAGAGGTCCTCGACGTCCACGTCGCTCATTCCAGGGGAATCTTTTCGGCTCGGAGTGGCCGCTGAAAGCGCTCGAAGCCGACATCCTGCACGGAGAACGTGGTAAACCCGTTCGCCTTCAGAACTCCAGAACCCTTGGCGGCCCTGAAAGATACGCTTCATACTGGGTCCGACTCCTCAGGGTCAAGCTGGAAGCGGATACCTCGGTCAACATCATACTGTACACAGACCAACCCGAGCGCCTCGAATAACGTCTGTAGTTTGTAGTCGATCCAAGGGTCGAAGTCCAACTCCCACTCCGTCAGACGGCGTACGGCCGTGAACACATTTGAATATACTAGGTGGTACTGAATGTCGAGAGACCAGAGACGTCCCCGGCACCACCACAAGCACTTTGTCCGAAGAGTAGAACTCACGAGCTTCGAAGCCACATCCTCAGGTGGCAAGGTAAACACTGGGCAGCACCAAAGCCACCGCGGAACCACATATGCACCAGCTGCTCGGAGTCGGGCACGCGAACTCCCAGGAAGCTGACGTAGTGCTGAAATGGCTGCATAGACCTTCTTCCGTCCCCCCGCTGGCGCAACGGGGGCCGTGGGGTCATCGGGGGCGGCCTCGACCCCGATGTGCTCGATGCGACGGAAACCCCCGCGATGCCATTCCTGGCGTTTGCTGCGATTCTCCACGGCGCCTGTCTCGGAGTCGAACAAGTCTGTCGTGGCGATGTCGTCAATCAACTGCTGATCATTCTGGCGCGAGCGGTCGTCCATGAACAGGAACTGCCCACCTTTCACCTCCCACGGGGCGAGTACCGAGCAGAACACCATGGGTGCGCAGGAGCCCACCTGCGCCAAGCTTCGGGATGGCCACGCCACTTCACCAGATAAAGCTCCAGCCACTTGGCCACGGCGTGGACAGGGCCACGCTGGAAAAGAAACGGCCACAAGATCCGATGGAACTGCAGCAGCACGAAAAGACATAATGCCAACCTCATGGGGAACTGGATCGTAGCACTTGCTCAAGTCTCGCTCCATGCCCGCCTAGGCGGTCACACAAGCCCGTAGCCAGCTGCATACAGCGTGACACACCGACGTCTCAGCTTTGCAGGCATGCTGCGCCGCCTGCGAGGCGGGAGAAGCGTCTTCACATGCGGTAAGCCAGCTTCGCAAGAGAACACTTGCCACACAAATTGGGCGTGAGGCTCCACACTTCTTTGGTGCACTCACTATTCTCCAAGAAAGCAGCACCGTCTGCAAACTCAAGGTGTCGTCCGTGCGCTCTGATACCACCGCGGTCTTTGCCATGTCATTGGCACCCAAGTACCGCGTCGCGTCGACCCATAGGTTGTAAAGGTCCTGGATCACGAAGGCGAAAGTCGAAAACATCAACTTCAGCTCACGGGCCGTCCAGCCATACTAACCAGCACTGCCTTTGCCACGGGCGATGGCCCGTAGAAGCTGCTTCCAACTAGGTGTCCATCCAGCAGGCGCCGTGCTCTGAGGAAGAGGTCGACGCATACGTTGAGCATGTGATAGCGAGCATGTAACACAACCAGCGCCGTCGAAACATTCTGGGCATCATATCTTGCGCCACTTATCCGTCATGTCGTTCGCTGTGAAGGCGGGGCACTCCGTGGGATCATGCATGACGGAACTCGCCGCCTGCCACCTTTCCGAGTCGATGGACTCCTTGGCGAAGATCTTCTTTCACGTCGAACTGTCCTCGGAACGCAGTCGGCGCTCCAGCTTACATATTGCATCCGATACACGATCATGGGCACGACCGAGGTTTGTTAAGCCTGCGCAACCATTGTCAATAATGTGGCTCAAACATAAGTCGATGAAAACGTCGAGCTGATGCCCTTCCAGCCGTGCCGTCGGAGGGCTTCGCTTCAACTGTTATGCAATACTTCGGGCGAGCTTCGTCAATCTCGACAAGATGATAGGTTCGTTGGTCCGGCCCCTTTCAGGGTCCGCCGCCGTCACGGCCCCTTTCTGGGTCCAGTCCACCGCTTCCGGGAGCGTCTCGTTGCCCACCTCGTGGCTGCCCAAGTAGGGGAGCCCGCCCCAGGGCCTCTTCGAGGGCTTGTACCCCATGTAGCCCATCGTGAACTCCTCGCTGGTCATGTCTGCGAACGGGTTCAGGCCCAGCTGGTACCTGAGGCCCTTGCTGTTCTCCCGCTCGATGAATTCGAGTTTGTCCGAAAAGGCCTGGAGGCGGAGCTGGTGCTCCAAGGCCTCGTACTCTTTCTCGAACTTGGCCCGGAACTGCCCGAAGAGCTCCTCCACCTCAGACAGGGGGCGGCGTGACTGAGACAGCGCGAGCATCGACGCCGAGGCGGCCGCAAAACGCATCATGTTTCGGGGCGGGGAGGGCTTTCGCGGAGCGTCCTGGAGTCAACTCACCAGCTAGAGCCAAATTCAGCCTCAGCCAAGACTGCTATCGAGGAGGATACGACACTAGCTGGAGCGGGTGCGCGGTGCACCTCCGGACACAGAGGGGCGAGGGCGGCGGTGAGCCGTCTTCACGCGCCTGAAAAAGGCTGGACCACCATGCGGACTATTCCAACATGTGTAAGGCGGCATTGCCTAGATTCGAGGAGCCCATCATGCATGTGACTGTGAAGCTCCACGAATTCAGAGCAAGCCGTTATGTGAGGAAGAAGCCGACAAAATAGAAGCAGCAAGGGGGGATAGCGGAAGAGGAATGACAGGGAAGGCTCCTGACAAGGGGTGGAATGACAGGGACAGGTTGAATAAGAAAGAGGAGGAAGAATAGGAGAAGAAACATGAGCTGGATGAGAAAACCGCAACTGAGCAATGGAAACTCAGAGTTTCCCCCTCTGCCTCGCCAGAGCCCACTCAAAACAGGCCACGAGCCTCTTCCCTGGCATCCTCCCACACCCAACTTCAGATCCGAGCCGCGTCCAGCAGTTGCCACGAGGGGCCCCCCGAAGGTCCAGAAGGAGGAGCGGGGGATATTGCTGGGATATTGGGAGCCCAACGGAGCATCTGACCGAAAAACTGCATGCGCAACGTGCGGAAGAAAAAACAAAACATTACCCCGCTGGACACTCGAGAGCCCACCAAGTCACGACTCCTTTCCACCTTGGTCGGAACCTCCCGTCGCTGAGGCTTGATTGCTTATTTGCCCGCGGAGTGTTGCCATGCCGTCATGCCGCCACTTTCCCTATCTTTGCCGGCAAGGACGAGTAGCTCGAGAAGGTCGGGATCAGCTGACCGTGTCCGCTGGGAGACCATCGACATCGATCCCCGACGTCTCCCCGTTTCCCCCTGCACTGCAAGCACCTTCCCGCCTCACCTTCCCTTCTTCTGTCAGCTTGGGCTCAGCAGCGACACTTTGGCGTCGTGGCGTTGTGAACGAGTGCGGGGAGAGCACAAAAGATACCGACAATACAATCGAGACGCTGTCATAAGGATCCCTTCATAAGGAGCCAGAAGTAAACTTCGACTTCCCCATGGAGAAGCTAGGGCTCACCTGAGACAAACCGTGAAACAATCCAGGAGCACTGAGCCCCTCCCCAACGAGAAGGGATCCTTCTTCCGCGGCCCGACCGCACACTTGCTCCCCTGGCCTCCCCAGGGGCGCGCTCGGCCCAGGACCTCGGGGCCGGCCAGACTGGCAGGGCCGGAGTGCACTCGAGATCTGCAGCAGGGACGGGCGGCAAGGACGCAGGGGCGTCGGACGCCGAAGTTGGTAATTTCTGGGCGGCGGACTGCCAACACCCCAAAGGGCTGGCCAATGAAAACCGCGAAGGCCAGGCCGCAAGAGCAAGGACGCAAGGGTACCCTAAGGACATCCGTGCGTCCTTGCTGCGACTTTTGGCTGGAAGGGAAGCGGCGGCCCCCCCCGCTGCAAAGGGTCGCCTGAGGTCCTCCTCGCTGAGCCTCGGCGACGTCAAGTACTCCGGGTGCCACGCCGGGACGTCGAACGCGCCGGGCGCGGCCGCGCCTTCTTCGGAGGGGGAGGGTGCGGTGCGAGGACGGGGATCCGGGATAATTATCATGGCCCCTGTTGGCGGTACGAACAATGGGGTAGGAGAAGGTTGGGAAGGCTTTTTACTAGGAGGCTGCTTCTTAGAAGGCGCTGACTCCTGCCATCGCAGATCGGGGCCTTGGGACCCCCCCCCGAACTGGGCGGGCTGAGGGCAGCTTCTCGGGCGGTGCTCACGGGAATCGCCTGTCGGCCGAGGCGCCTCCCGAGGCGCCGCCGAGGAGGCGTCCGTCGGCCGAGCGCCTCCTCCTCCTCCTCCTCCTCCTCCTCCTCCTCCTCCTCCTCCTCCTCCTCCTCCCTCCTCCTCCTCCTCCTACTCCTACCCTTCCTCCCCTCCCCCTCCCCTCCTCCTCCTCCTCCTCCTCCTCCTCCTCCTCCTCCTCCTCCTCCCCCCCCTCCTCCCTCCTCCTCCTCCCCCTCCCCCTCCTCCTCCCCCTCCTCCGGGCCTTTTGGCCCTCTGGCCCGCCCCTGCGGGCCTCTGGGCTCTCGGAGCCCCCGGGAGAACCTCCCGGCACGACGGGCGGGCACGGGCACGGGCACGGGCAGAACAGAGCCAGCGCGCGGGGCGGGGACGCCACGTCGGCGCTCTGCGAGCGGGGGGGCGGCCAGCGAGTTGGCCAACGAGGAGCCGAGGGGGGAGGATGCCAGGGTAGCTTTAGGCGACGAGCCCAGGGGGTAAATGAGAAGGAGAAGGCCTTCTCAGAAGGCCGCGGGACTTCTTAGAAGTCCGGGGGGCTTCTGAGACGTTTCCTTGGCCTATTTCGAATACAGACAGAACTTCTCAGAAGCCCTCTCAGAAGTCCAGAAACTTCTCAGAAGCCTCGGAAGTCCCGCCCCTTCTCATTTCCCCCCCGCGCCCGCCGCCGAAGCTTTGGAGAGTCGCTCATCCTTTCTATCCGTGTCGACTGTAGGAGCAAGGGAACAGACGACACCACCACCAACCGCCAACGCGAGGAGCCAGGGGGGATCCTCCTGGTGGTGTGGTGCCCCCCCCCCTCTCGCCCGAGACATCCCCGATCTAGAGCTCGGGGAGGCATCAGGGACCCCCTCGCTGGAGGTGGCACCCCTGGCCCCCTGGTGGTGGTGGTGTCACCTCTCCATCCTCCGACCAGGGCATATCAACAATGACCCTGGCAACGTGCCCATACCTTGCGCAAGAAGTGGCCAGATCAGTTGGAATATCATGGCGAGGGGTGATCACCTGGCAAGAACTCCCATGTATCCTGCAAACTACGTGGCAAGCTCGGGTTGCACGACTCGCAGGATACCGATTAAACGACAGGGATATGATGGAGGTCCGCGCTGGGCCCCCCACCAGCCGTCGAAGGTGGCGACAGCTTCACACTTCGCAGCTCCCCCCCCTAAAAAAATATGAGTGATGTCTAATTTGAGTCCCCGTAGGCCGTCATTGCACTGCCCCCCAGCAGCCCTCGACCGTGGCGACAGCTGTACAGTTCGCAGCTCATTCTGTTATTTGAATCCTCGTAGCCACGCACTGTGCTGCCCTGCACACCCCCCAGCGAAGGTGGCGAAAGTTTCGCAGATCTCAGCCCCCAACAGAAAGGCGTGGTCGAATCTGAGTCCCTGTAGCCCCGCGCTGTGCTGCCCACCACCAAACCTCGAAAGTGGCGACAGCTTCGCAATTCGCAGCGCCCGAGGGATGGTGAGGTCCAATCTTAGTCCCTGTAGCCCCGCACTGCGCTGGGCCCCTCAGCAGCCGTCGAAAGTAGTGGCGACAGCTTCGCGGTTTGCAGCCCCCCCCAAACAAAAAGTGCGAGGGCTAGCCTGAGCCCCCGCAGGGCTCCATTGCGCTGTGCTTCCCAGCCCTCGAAAGCGGCGACATCTTTACAGATCGCATCAACCAAGGACTGGCGAGATCGAATACGAATCCCCGTTCCCCCGCACTGCGCGGGCCCCATCAACAAGCTTCGAAATTGGCGAAATTCCGCAAACTGCAGCCCCCCACAGAATGGCGATGTCTGGTCTACGTCCTTGTACTGTGCTGGACCCCTCAGCAACCCCCGGAAGTGGCCACGGTTTCGCAGATCGCAGCCCCCAAAGGATGGCGAGGTCTAGCCTGAATCCTCGTAGCCCCGCACTGTGCCCGATGACTCAACATCCGTCGAAAGTGGCAGCAGCTTTGCTGTTCGCAGCCCTCCAGGATGGCGCTGTCTAATCTGAGTCCCAGTGGCCCATCCACGCCGCTGAATCCACTCAACAGCCCTCGAAAGTGGAGACCTTCTCACGGTTTGTAGCCCCCCCTAGGGATGGCGAGGCAGGAAGAAGGCAAGAGGCAGATACGAGGTAGCAAATACGAAGCAGGAGGAAAGAGGCGGGAGACGTGAGGATAATGAGCAGGGGGAGAAGGAGACGCGAGCATAACACTCTATTCAAAAAGGGAAACTGGCACTGGAGGATTGGAGCACAAAACTGGTTGAGGAGGTTCGCAACCAGTTTCGCCAGCAAGCCATGCGGGGGAGGAGGAGGTGGAGATGGTGGAGGAAGGTGTTTTTTGGCACGGACCGCATCAAGGCACCACTGAAACTTCTGCATTGGGACTGGCCGAAATGCAACAACTCCCCAGCGTCAGCACGCAAGCAAAGCCTAGAAACCCGGGAGGGCTCGCAGCTCCGCCGCTCACAGACGCAGAGCGGCCAAAGACGCAGGGAAGAGAGTCATCCTGGGCCTCTTCGGGCGGACGCCTCTCAACATGCGAGCCCCAGGGGTTCGGCGTGCTGGGCGACCCGTCTGGATTGACAGGCGTGTCGTGGCAACGGCTTGCAAGGTTAGCCAATCGCTGGCCTGATGTGGAGGACTCACACTCACACGGGGCAAACACAGAAAGAAAGAGTCATCGGTGCAGCCCACAACCCAGCACTGGTGGCCTTGTGCAACGAGAACATCCACCCGGACGCGAGAGTGGCAGGAGCAAGCACCTGGCGGCGGTTCCGCCACACACCGCCGCCTACGGACGCGATGAGAACACTGCGAGCGGGACCCGACTCGCGCCCGCACATGGCAGATTGCGGACGCGGCGGGGCGACACGTTGCACCCGATCGAGCTCAAGGCGAGGCCAGAGAGGGAGAAGGTGAGCAGACAGCTTCGCGACGGCCTTATTAGCATCATGCACACACTTCGAGATAGACTCCTGAAGCTTGAATGGGGCAGCGGGCTGCGAGAGATCACCACGCTTGGCCGCAGTGTCGGCACAGCAATTGCCAATCCTGAGGAAGTCTTCCTCGGGCAGCAACCCGATCAGCATGCCTTGATGAGCCTTGACCTTCGCCAGGCCCCGAACACGACTGGGCTGCGAAAACACCTGCAACGTAATACCGCTATATCAAAGCTTGCGATTGATCTGGCTGGCGATACCAGGAGAGTGATACATCTTGCGCACATTCAAGCAGTCAGTGTAAGAATCGTTGGGGCCGCTGGACAAGAACACCGAACCCCAAACGCCGAGTACGCTCCCCCTGGCTGGTCTGGGGGGGCGGGGCTCCACGCTTGGAACGAGACCGTGCAGACGGGGCCTCAGCGAGGCAGCGAACACAGGGACGCCCCAGCTGGCACGCGACGACTCACGAACTGAATGCTCGTGGCACGATCCGCCCATAATGATAAGGCCAGAAAAAGCCGCCGCCCATCCCGTCGGAGTCGCCGTGCCACGCCATGTCAACATCCCAAGGGTCGTCGTGCCACGCAGACGCGCGCAAAGATCTCCACGGCGCCTGAAGAGGCCTCGAGAAAGAGCAGGAGGTCCACTGCGGGGTCCTCAACGCCGCAAGGACCCAAGACTTCACCATGGACTCTCCAAGCTGGGAACCATTCCAAAAACACAAACACAGTCAAACCCTATGGAACAAATAATCGAGCTCGCCACAGTGCACGCACTCAAGAGAACACTAGCGACCTAGACGGATGGTCTTATCACGGATCCAAGTGGCCCCCGGGAGAGCCGCTTTGAAGGAACCCCTCGAGGAAAGCACCGGCCTTCGAAGAACGAGACACTGCAACCATGACGTCGACGTCGAAGTGCGACCTGTCGGGGGAGTTTGTGGCCGAGCTGGCGGACCTCTCCAGGGACCTCAAGACACCCCCGCGCAAAGATTTATTCAGCAGCCCCAGGGAGGTGATCGGGAGAGAAATGTCCTGTTTGGGGCCATTCGTGATCGTGGTGGGATCTGCCACGTGCCAGTCAACCCCGCGCGAAGATAACTTCGTGGCCACGGTGGGCCCTCCACAACATCGCCGCGTCAAATCCGCCCCGTTGCCTGTGGCGCCCTGGGAAGTGACCCCCGCCGTGTCATGGAGGGCGAGGGCGCGGCGCAAGGCCCTCGGCGCCCCCGCCGAGCCCCTGGCCGCAACGGACGAACAGCAACAGTGCAAATGAAGGCACGATCGTAGATGTAGGATGTAGGCATCTAGAGTAATGGGCCGTGAAATTCGATCGATCGAATTCTGGACCGAGGTAGATCCTGACGAATGCAGTCGAGGCCGAGCAGCCAGCGATGACGCCACTGATTACCAACCGCGGCCCATTCACACTGCCATTCATCGCGACGAAGCGGGCGCAATAGTCGGCGAAGAGGCAAAAGCGAAATACTTGCAGAAACAGAAATCGACTCGCCTGCACCAGTCTAGAAGCAGCTCCAGGTCGAACAACTTCTTAAGTTTGCGCAGACCCAAGCCTCGGCGCAACGTTCGAGGGGGACTCGAAGCTGCGGCGAGCGCAACGCAGTCGGGCCCATGGCGCATCCCACGAGGGAGCTAAGCGACGGCGAGATCGGCCCGACCACATGCAAGCGCCCGCGAAGAGGCCGGCGGGCCCGAAGCCTCCAGGGGCCCGAGAAGTCGTTGCCAGGGGAGCCAAGCGCAGCTGAGTAACCCACTCAGACAACCAGTCCCGAAGCTGAAACATCTCCCCCGGGGCCAGGGGGGGCACGTCGCAAAGCCGCAA